TGTGGCAGTCCAGTCCAGTCCAGTTTTGTGTTGGGAGAGTCCAGTGGAGTCCAGTTTTGTGATTTGCAGTCCAGTCCAGTCCAGTTTTGTGCTGGGAGTCCAGTGGAGTCCAGTTTTGTGGATATTGCCAGTATGTAGTGAAGTCCAGTGGAATCCAGTGGAATCCAGTGGAATCCAGTGGAGTCCATGTGGATTATGTGGGGGATGGTAAAGTACTGTCCACGTTCCGCCACCCCCTTGGGATCAATCTCACTACAGTGGTAGACCCCCTAACAATGGTGCTCCGCATATTGACAGGGCTGGTTATCAAGCGGGATGACCTTTGGTGTCTTTGCCGGTTTGATAGAACCACAGCTCCCACCACCCCACGAATCCTGGTCCTAATTTAGTAAAGAAAATTAGTTTAAAGTGCTTGAAATAAATGTTGTGAAAAGCACCTCGCTCTTGAGAATGGCTGCCATAGATAGAGCTTTGCCTGATTCATCTTCCCATATGCAAGTATCATCACTGAGGTCAAGGAGATATGCGATGTCGTCTTCGGGCCTCGGAACAGTCCAAGTTTTTGGAAGTTCCGTGAGAGTAACAAGGTTCTTCACTTTGAGTTGTCATGTAATTTTGATATATTCATTCTCCTCCTCAGAGGAAGAACCTTTTCAAATCCTATGTTTCTTCTGGGATGGAGCTGTTTTACGATGACGCCATGGTGGTGCAGCAGTAGAAGGCTTGTCAAGTACTTCACAGTCAGAGCCTTCAGAATCAATGGGAGATGATTTTCGAGGCCTTTTCTTTCCCATGGAGGAGGCTTTGCGATGTCGCTGAGGAGCAAGGGTGGCCCAGGAAGGCGCACCGACAGATTCAATAACATCGGAGCCATCAGAATCGGTAAGACTAATTATATCTGGCTTGCATTTGATGATTGAAGTCAGGGCGATAGGCTCCCGTTTAATGCATTGAGAAGATGTGGGGGTGGATTGGGATTTTGGCTGTGACTGAAGACGGCGGCTCATCCAGCCCATGAAAGCATGCATATCAATCCAGTCTGGGGCATTTCCAATTTTGTGCCACGCAGACGCGATGACAGGTGTCGGAAATATCTAGCAGAATACCATTTAAGCATCTCAGTACTAGTTCAAGTTGATCTTATAGACTCACCTCCCTGATGTACTCATTAACGAGATCAGCTCCCACTGATTCGAGGAGCTGTGTAATCTGGAGAGGGTTGTCCATTGGTGTGTAGTAAATGGGGGTGGAAGAGAAAACTAGTAGTATTGTCATGACAAGAGCTATATACCCTACAGTGTTGATTTGTGGCCACCAGTGGCCTGTTGCCATGGCCAGATTCATAGTTCACTCAATTAGGGAATGGGGCGGGACAGGGCACGGCGTCAGGGAGTGCTCGGATATTGCCGACAATGATGGAGTGGAAGTCACAATTGACTTCCACTCATGACTTCCACTCAGGCAAGTTCCACTCCATGACGACTTCCACTCCCATTTCTAACTTCCACTTCCACTACTTCTTACTATACTCCACAGTGACAGATCTGTCGAGTGGTCGTTCTTCTCACTGACCGCGATGACTTTCGATGCTCCATTAAATCCATTTCAGTTGTCCTCCATCCACCATACCAGACTCGACGGTTCTCTTCACACAGTGTTTGACGGAGGCAAGATCCATGTGATATAGGATTGGAAGGGAATGCCCAGAGGCCATAGTCAAACAGTGGTATATAGCTAGATTTGGATATCTTACATAATATATTGATCTTTTGTCTTGAACCACCATCTTGTCAGCAGTCTTGCCATCCTCTTGCACTACATGTAGTGCTTTGTATATCTGTACTTCCTACAGTATGCATAATCATGTTGGGCCAGCTGAGTATCTTGTAACTGCTCATTGCTCACTTATGGGTGTTGATCCCAGATCCACCCATTCTTGCCTCCTCCTTCCCTCTTGGCTTCAGCTATGTGAGAAGTTCAGAGTGAACGCTTCACAATGGTGGGGGCACCGCGGACTTCACCAAAGCATGGTTGAAGTCTGCATTTCTTGGTAGAGGGAGAGCTGGAGAGTTGTGGGAATGTGCCAGCTCATCACAGGAGGAACCTTAGCATGGATGGTAGCTGCAGCTCGCGCACTTCGCGGCGGGCTTATTACTTCATGTGAAAGGGCTCATCCATCCTTCAGTTGGATGAACCATTGACTATAGCTTGTGCTTGCACAGCTGGTTGAGGTTTGTTCGATTGGGGTGCTGCACTGACTCTGAGCAGCTGGGCTTTGGGATTTCGCGACTACGCGGCCTAAAGCCTACGGTGAGGAGAGTTCCTATTCACCTATGTCTGGATTCCGCGACTACGCGACCATTGACTTGGTGAGGAGGTTGCCCACAACCAGTGTTGCCTGCTGCTTTGCGCTGCTTCACTGTCTCTCAGACTCCACCTGTTCCTCAACCATCTCCCTTGTCTTTTAGCATCTAGGCCTCTCAAGAACAGCTAGATGTTCATTGACATCCCTCCAGTTCAGTCTGCTGCTCTGGAAATTATGTGCTATGCCCTACTATGCTTCTCTCCCAATCTTTGCTCTTTTCTTGTTTGAGGAATGAGTATTCTCATCCTCCTTACTTTTCTGTGAACTCCCTGGAATGGCTCTTCTTGGTTTCTGAATGATTAGAAGGGTTTGGAGTGGTTTTGGGTTGGATGGGGTTGATGGGACATCATTCACATGGGACTTATTCACATCATATCTCACCAACCGACGCCCCGATTGCTCTCGTCTCTTTTGCGCTGGGAAGCCCTCATTCACACCTTTCTTTGGACCCCCTGAACTCGCCAAACGGTCACCTATTGGCGGCGCTTCGCCTAGTTCAGCCTGGCATGACCAAGATGAACATATTTCGTCCGTTCTCGGCGAGATCTTCGTCGTTCCGGTTACGTTCTTTGGTTCGTTTTGAAGCCACGGTCAATGCGCTTCTGGGAAGCCCTTATACGCGTCAAACGGACGGGCGGTTCTTGTGTTACAGTGCCATCCCTCCAACAACCATTCACAGGGGACTTGTTCATGTCATATCTCGCCGACCGACGCCCCGATCGCTCTCGTCTTTTTTGCGTTGGGCAGCCCTCATTCACACCTTTCTTTGGACCCCCTGAACTCGCCAAACGGTCACCTATTGGCGGCGCTTCGCCTAGTTCAACCTGGCATGGCCAAAATGAACATATCTCGTCCGCTCTCGGCGAGATCCTCGTCGTTCCTTTCGTTCTTTGGTTCGTTTTGAAGCCACGGTCAATGCGCTTCTGGGAAGCCCTTATACGCGTCAAACGGACGGGCGGTTCTTGTGTTACAGTGCCATCCCTCCAACAACCATTTACAGGGGACTTGTTCATGTCATATCTCGCCGACCGACGCTCAGATCGCTCTCATCTTTTTTGCGTTGGACAGCCCTCATTCACACCTTTCTTTGGACTCCCTGAACTCGCCAAACGGTCACCTATTGGCGGCGCTTCGCCTAGTTCAGCCTGTTATGGCCAAGATGAACATATCTCGTCTGTTCTCGGCGAGATCTTCGTCGCCCCTTTCGTTCTTTAGTTCGTTTTGAAGCCACGGTCAATGCGCTTCTGGGAAGCCCTTATACGCGTCAAACGGACGAGCGGTCCTTGTGTTACAGTGCCATCTCTTCAACAACCATTTCCCCATTCCTATTGTCATCACCTGCTCGCATCGGACGTTCTATAGCCCATTTTAAACGTCTGAATCGTACCTTTCCGACGCACCTATTCACGTCGATAACGGACAACAGCCTGGTCTGCAGTATGCATTTACTCCAGAACTGCAGTTTCTGGGTATTACCTCTCTATCTCGACAACCACAGCTCGTCACGATACGCGAGTTATACCGTTGGAAAGGCGTAGTTCGTAGCTTTCGAACGGGTATTTGATCTCCAGGAACGGGCCAGAAATCACTACGCTATGCTCGAACACATTTTTGGCTACCTCAGGATCTCCCCTCTATTTGGGGTGATAAGACTTGATTGGAGGACTCTTATGGGCAGGGGAAACACCTCAACTGGTTGAGAGTTGCTGCTCGCACATTACGCGGCGGACTCTTCTTCAGTCATGGTAACCTTCTGGCTCCCTCAGAAGGCTGATTGCTGCTCGCGCGTTGCGCGGCGGATCAGTGTTGAGGAGTTGCAGCTCGCACATTACGCGGCGGACTCTTCTTCAATCATGGTAACCTTCTGGGTCCCTCAGAAGTACTGATTGCTGCTCGTGTGTTTCGTGGCGGATCAGTGTTGAGGAGTTGCTGCTCGCGCATTATGCGGCGGACTCTTCTTCAATCATGGTAACCTTCTGGCTCCTGATTGCAGCTCGCATGTTTTGCGGTGGATCAGTGTTGAGGAGTTGCTGCTCGCGCGTTACGCGGCGGACTCTTCTTCAATCATGGTAACCTTACAGATTGCTGTGTGTGTGTTGCATGGCCTGTGTCCACTCTGGGGGGCAAGATTTATGACAACATATTTTTTTTCTCCCCCTTTCCTTCAACCTCTTATCATTCCTACCCAACTGGCACCACCTCTACCTACTCTGACACCAACTTAGGATCACGGCTTGTAATTTTCCACTGCACGATCTCTTCGCCTCTATCCTCCCTGGCTTGATTCTTGAGATTCGCACACTGGAAAAGTGGGGGGCTGTATGGGAGTATAGGTGGAAGATGGGAGGAGAGGTGCAAGCCTCTATCCCATTACATACTCCCCACATCCAGACCACACACCACAATGGAAGCAAGCTACATCATCTTGATGGGTAGAGGGAGTTGAGTTGGGATCAACGATCTGAGTGGAGAGGTGCAAGCCTCTATCACACTATACATGCCTTATACCCAGACCACAAGTATGATGGAAGCATGCTACACCATCGTGATGGGGAAAGGCAATGGAGTTGGGATGGATGACCTGGAAGCCATCCACTTGCATGGTTTCCCAGTACTCATGGTTATACATCACTGAAGAGAGAATGGGAGGATCATATGGGTATTTCTGGGTTAAGCTGGGAGCTTGCAGTGACCAGCTTTTCAGATAGGAAATTATTTGGGGCCAAATTTTTTCTTTCTTTTATTCATCTTCTTTGCTTTGCTACCTTTTGGTCTCATTTTATCCTGATATTCACTCTGGGGGGCAAGAGGATTTCTATTCTATTATTCTTCCCCACCATTGTTTTCCTTACATGCCCTCTGGACATTGGGGGGCTTTGTGATATAGGATTGGAAGGGAATGCCCAGAGGCCATAGCAAGGGGGGAGCGGGATTTGAATCTGCCATATGGGGTTGGTTGGTTAGTCCAGCCGCCAGGCTGTTAAATTTTTTTAATTTTAAGTACCGAATTCAGGTAATTTGCAGGCCGGATGAGCTTAGATTAGACTGGTGCACTCTCTGAGGCATTTGACGAGCTCTCCTCAATTACAGGTGGGATATTTTCCAGGATAACCCTGCCAGAACCAGTATGTGCTATCTGCACTTAGAATACTAATTCATTCTAAGAAGCCTGGTATATGATATAGATTGAAAATGATATTTGAGACAATGAAACTGTAAGGCAGAATAATTATCTGCAGACGAAAAGGCTGTGAGACATTGTGGGTAAGTCATTTTCTTTTCGCGTCATTTCAGCCTACTCACCACTGACTATGCGGACCACCTTTCATGTGTTGGACTGGATCATGGTATCAACAACTGGGTTTGTGACCCATGCAAGAGCATGGAGAGAAGCAGAAGAAGGGGCGGCAAACAAAGGCGTGCAGTGTAGAGTGGCTGACATCAAATGACACCCAAAATATGTTACCTATTTATAGAATTTACCTATATATGGATGGTTATTCACACGCCTGGTTGGTTAGTCCAGCCATAGTGGCCTTACGAAAAAAATCAACGTGATATACTAAATTAAAATTGTGCTCCCCCCTTGGGCCATAGTCAAACAGTGGTATATAGCTAGATTTGGATATCTTACATAATATATTGATCTTTTGTCTTGAACCACCATCTTGTCAGCAGTCTTGCCATCCTCTTGCACTACATGTAGTGCTTTGTATATCTGTACTTCCTACAGTATGCATAATCATGTTGGGCCAGCTGAGTATCTTGTAACTGCTCATTGCTCACTTATGGGTGTTGATCCCAGATCCACCCATTCTTGCCTCCTCCTTCCCTCTTGGCTTCAGCTATGTGAGAAGTTCAGAGTGAACACTTCACAATCCATGTCAGGGTCTAATTGCTTGATGTGCCCAACGACAACACCCAATGACAACAATGCGGACCCAGACAGCTATGTGTGTTGAATGCTGTCGAAGGGGCGGTGAAAGTGAACGTGGTCAGGGTAGTAAGGTAGGTACTGATTCGATGAGTTAAAATATCAGGATCACCAGTCTCTAGGGGACACGTATCAGGCATCCGTCAACATAGCGCCTCCCATTTGCATCCCATGAGCACTTCAGTCACCCACTACCAACTGACTATTAGTCATGCAAACTCCACGTAAGTTACATGACTAAATGTCATGGACCATATCTGTATTCTAGATATATATGGGTCCTAGAAAGCCCTGAAATCTAAAATATATTCTTGAGACATGGACCCTGAAATGTCACACAAAAATTATAATGTCTGTGTCACACCTCCAAAATATATTTTGCAAGTGAAATGCAGTCAGGATATATTTTTGGTGAGTGGACCCTGAAATGTTACTGTCACACCTTAGAAATATATTTTTGCCCTGTCTTGGCCTTAGGATATATTTTGTAAAACAAATGTGGTAAGGATATATTTTTCTGGTCTGTAGAGGTGTCAGGGGTCCTAGTTTCAGCAAAAAACTTGTGATTTTTTTGCTGTCTGGGGTATATATTCTGGGAGATTCTGCAATGATTTCCAGGGTTTTTGGCACTATGTCTGGTTTGTGCTCCCAGTATGTAGGTAGCAATAAGGGGCATCAATAGCATCTGTGATCTACCTTAAACCTATTCACTCCAAGGTTCCTGAATTGCTCAAGTATGGATACAGTTTGCATTATTGATTTTTCAAAACTTTCTTATTGGAAAACACCTGAAACTGTCCTCCCAGTCAGCTAATTCACTACACCCTCTTCTATAACATCCAATGCTGATCTGTCTGGCAAATCAACATCCCATCTTGAAGGTTCGACTTCTGCTTGTTTTGGAAGAGGGTGATACTCTCTTCTCAACTTATGATTGACTTCTTCCTCAGGTGGGGACATGGTGATGTCATATGAGTGCTTCTTTATCAATAAGTTTGGAAACATCTGTAACTGTTGTCAAGACTGCACTGTGCTGCTATCTTGAAGCCATTTCACCACATCCCCTTCCATAACATACAATGCTGATCTGTCTAGCAAATTGACATCCCATTTTGAAGGTTCAACTTCTCCTTGGTTCGAAAGAGGGTGACACTCTCTTGTTGACTTATCATTGACTTCTTACATGGCAGTGTTATATGAGTGCTTCTTTATCAACAAGTTTGGAAACATCTGAAATTGTCCTCAAGACAGCACTGTGCTGCTACCTTGAAGCTATTTTGCTACACCCCCTTCCATGACATCCATTGCTGATGTGTCTGGCAAATGGACATCCCATCTTGGAGGTTCACCTTCTGCTTGTTTCAGAAGAGGGGGATACTCTCTTGTCAAGTTATGATTGACCTCTTCCTCAGGTTAAGACATGGTGGCGTCATATGAGAGCTTGTTTGTTAACAAGTTTTGAATTGTCTGGAACCATCCTCTAAATAGTGCTGTGCTACCTTGAAGATATTTCACCACACCCCCTTCCATGAACAACTCCATCACTTTGGTTTAGTGAGAGGAACATCCAGCTTTCCCCTCCAAATACCCCAACAACCAACTTGCCAGTTTTCCTTTTCAATGCTGTGTTTGGCAAATTGACATCCCACTGAGAGGATGACTTTGCTCAATAAAGAAGTTGAGTAAGTTCTCAAAGCTCAACCTAATCTACAGTGTAGTATGCAGTACTCAAGGAGTGGGGCTCAATAAGAGATGTTTGTTACAAAATATATTTTTTGCATCAATATCATGAAAGAATATTTGTTGGAAGATATATATTTTGGGAGTATATATCCAGTCATCAGAATCAATGCTACTGCAAGGTATATATTTGGCATATATACATTGTGGAAGAATGTATTTGATAACTAGATCTCGAACCAAGATATATCTTTCCACTAAATTCACTATATGCTGAATCAACATACATTATTTCTCAACTATATCCTATATTTTCCCACTACATTCTGAATCAAGATATATTTCTCAACTATATCCTAAACCAGGATATATTAACAAGATATATTTTTAAACTATATCTTGAACCAGAATATATTACCAAGATATATTTTTAAACTATATCTTCAACCAGGATATTATCCTGGACTGGGACATATCTTTCAACTTGATCTTGAACCAGGATAAATTACCAAGATGTATTTTTAGACATATCTTGCAGAAGGCAGAGAGAGGTGCAATTTATTGAATATAACTCCATGAATTTACATTACTACAGGGACTATTAAATAAAGGAACAAAGAGAAGGGGAGGGAGTGAGGGAGGGGGCGTGGGGGTTGGTGGGCAACAAGGGGGAAAGGGGTGGTAGGCAATGATGGAGGGGGAAGGGGTTATAGGCAATGAGGGAGGGGTGGCAGGCAATGAGAGAGAGGGGGAGCAATGAGAGAGAGGGGGAGTGCTGGCCAGTGAGGGAGAGGGGCAGGGAGTGGTGTGCAGTGAGGAAGAGGGTGAGAGAGTGAGGGAGAGGGAGAGGGGGAGGCAGTGAGGTAATGGGAGAGGCAGTGAGGGAATAGGGGAGGGAATGGGGGAGGGAATGAGAGAATGGGGGAGAGAGGGAGGGATAGGAATGGGGACAGAGGGAGGGAATGGGGGACAGAGGGAGGGAATGGGGGACAGAGGGAGAGAGGGAGGGAATGGGGAGGGAGTGGGAAGGCAGTTGTCGCCGTTTATCGGTGGTGTTGGTGGGCACTCATCTTCGTTGGTAGGGTGGGCGCCCAGCATGTTGATACGGATGAAACCATTTCACCCGTATAAAATTCAATTTTAACGATTTTACCAATAAAGGTCATCTCTAATAAATACACTACATACAATTGCAATGATACAAAGAGTCAATGCGCATACCCAGCGCAGTTGACTAAAAATGCAAATGCGTGGAATCTGAAAATAGGACAAAGGCTTTGGAACTGGCAGCAGTACGCGTCGTGACATTATACTTGGATCCTATCTAAAATTCACCTACCATGAAATAGAGCACAAAGAGGTTCTAGAGTAAACACCCAACACAGGGAGAAGAATTGCATTACTACTAAAGGGTTTAGAAACACATAATGGATTTATTGTGAAAACTTGTGCTTATACAAGAAATACAGAAAAGACAACATAGACACCTAAACGGCATGTCTGAAACATTGAAAGACTAAACTACGCCTAGGTAGTAAACATACGAAGACTTAGCGTGGCTCACAGCCATTCAGAAAGTCATGTACGGCGATTCCCGCGTACACATCAAAGACTGATGCGTCTGAACGTCACAAGTACAAACATAAGAAAAAGACACATTCTATTATATGAAATATAATAAGAACCCCCTGACAATTAAGAAAGACATTTGAAAACACCTTCGGAGTGTCTCCCGACCTCCGTAATGAAAAGACAAGCCAAGACAAGGCATTTTAATTAAAAACTCGGAAACGACAGAAGGCCAAAGACTATTGGTAAACACGTACGCATGTGCATCAACGCATCAGGAAATGTTAATCATTTTGTGATGTCATCTGTCAAACCGGTAAACCGGGCCATAGAAAGAAACACGCGAGATCATGCCAAGCTAAGAATAGCTATGTCGGCTAACTCCGCGTACGCATCAAACACTGATGTGTTTGAAAATGAAAGACGTGACACTACAAAATCTGTAGTGTTCACAGAGATAGACTACAAAATATACCACACGTTCATTAAATTTCATATTTGTAATTTGGACCGAAGTATCCCGCATTAAAACACATGTAAAACGTAGATAGGGGTTCCTGGAGTATATAAGGAGCGCGCTGGCAGGTTAAAAGGCAAGCAATTGTCCCCCATTGACCAGCTAGTTGCACTCCAAGTAGAGACTTAGGAGGTGGACAGTTGTAATCAATTAAAGGAGATTTCTTCGTGGTCAGAAAAGTACAGTGTGAACGAAGCCAGTGTGCTTGGGAGTCAACTTACTTGGAGACTTTTGAATAAGAGGTTTTAAAAACACAGTATCATTTAGACGAGACAGCGTACTCGTACCCTTAGTTTCGGAGCGTAGTGACATAATAAAAACTCATGGGAGTCATAAAAGTCAATTGAAGTCATGTTTTGTGTTAATAAAAGAAACTGTGATCAAAGAACTTTGCATTTAAGAGACCAAGTTCCCAGAAAGACATACTTTGTTCTATTGAACTATTCTAAACCACACCTTATAATAAAAACCCGTTTTGAGACGAAATCTCTTGAGACTTAAAACCTAAGAAGACAAAAGTGGTATTTCTTAATACCAAAGGCCCTCGAACTCTTGCACCGAGATTGTGATAGTGTGTGTGTGTGTGTGTGTGTGTGAGTGAGTGTTAGGTGTTTTAGGGTTTTCCCCGACGCACTTGATCCTTGTTTGCGTGTTTCGCACTTTCACGTTCATCCCTGTGCAACGCGTATCAGCGTCTTCATGGTGGTGGGCACTCGGCATGTCTTCATGGTGGTGGGCGCTCAGCATGTTTTTGTCATCGTCCGTCCGTCGTTTGTTGGCCATCATTGTCGTTCTTCCATCGTTGCATGCGGTCGGCAGGCGGCATGCCCTTCCCTTTGGGGAGGGGTGACGTGAGAGGTACTAGCTGTCGACTGCCCACTGGTGGAGTGGGCAGTCGACGGTGGTGGGCCTGTGTTAGTTCTATGCGCGATGATAGAGGCAGTGGGGTGCTTACCGTATTGGATAGAAAACGACGACGACGACGTTGTCATTGTCATTGTCCCTCATGTCCCTTTGTGTCCAATGTAAAATGACGACGACGATGACGTAACTGTCGTTGTCGTTGTCCCTCGTCCAGGTGTGTCGCATACTGGCCATGTTGCTCCTTCATAGACCTGGGGCCGTGGGGGTGCGCCGATCGTTGATTTCCGTGGGCGCTCGTTGATTTTCGTGGGCGCTGGTCGTTGTTTGCATGGGCGGTGGTCGTTGTTTTCGTGGGCGGCCAGGATCGTTTGTGCTGGTGGTGGTTACTTGATGTGGTATGCGGGCGACGTGTCGTCGTTTGTATGGGCACTGGTCATCGTTCACCAGGTGTTATGGCCGTTGTTGTGGTTGTGGTCATTGCTGGCAGTCGTTTGGTTTGTGGTGGGTTCGCGTGAGGTGGAAGTCAGGTTGATGTGGAATAGTAATGTCACAAAGTCACAGCGTGTGACGTTCGCATCAACATTCAAGTTCAGGCTCCCGCCCAAATCTGTAGCGCGCCCTCTGTCTCTAGTTAAATTTTGTGGTCTGTTAGGTAGCCCTGTATTCATTACAGAGATTTGTATTGTATGCTCTTTGGAAAGAGAAAAATTTGTAGTGTCTATTTTTCAAAATTTGCATTTTTTCCAAATTTTTTCATTACAAAACTTTGTAGTGTTCGCTTTTTGGGCCTACAAAAATTTGTATTCTCCTCTTTTATCATTACAAAGACTTGTAGTACCAGGTTTTGAGACTACAAAAAATTTAGTTTCCTCTTGTTTCATTACAAAAGCTTTTACTGTCTGCTTTTTCATTATAAAATTTTGTAGAACCAGCTTTTTGAGACTACAATTTAGTAGTCTCAGGATCTTAGGACTACAAAAGTTTGTAATGAGGATATAGTTTAATGTTAGAGAAGGTGACTTGAGCCACATAGCTCTATATCATTCAGTCTTTGTACCCTCCATCTGACTATGACAAAGGAACAAAATAGAAAGACAGGACTCTGACACTGAGATGTCAGAAAATTCAACCCCTCCAATAGATGATTTCAAGATTGGCTACAGACAAGGAGTAGATATCTAGGTCATACTTAACCATAAATCTAGGGAGGGTACAAAGGTTGAATGATGGAGAGCTATGTGACTACTCTGAAACATTGAACTATGTCCACATGTACTTACTCAAAGTCAAGGACACAGTACATATCTTTGTAGTCTGAAATGTGGACACTACATTTCTAGTTCTAAGATCTGAGACTACAAACTTTTATTGTCTCAAAAAGCTGGTTTGAAGCTGGTTCTACAAAATTTCATAATGAAAAAGCGAACAGTAGAAGCTTTTGTATTCAAAAAAGGGGGGACTATAATTTCTGTAGTGTCAAAAGCTAGTACTACAAGTCTTTGTAATGATAAAGGAGGAGAATACAATTTTTTGTAGGCCCAAAAAGCGAACACTGCAGAGTTTTGAAAACAAGTAGTTTGCCTAATAGTGATACTTAATATAGTCACTACTTAGCCTTGTCTCAAGATCTTAAGTCACACAATGGCTTTGGGGTAAAAAGTAAGGATTGATTCTATCTTACTTTACAGACAAGTTAAATACATCTATTGATAATCTTAGAGGAAGGTTATGGAACCTTCTGCTATGTCCTTTGTTCTACTGTACGTGTTACTATGCATTGTTAAGATGTGGTTTTGTTTGGCTACGTCATGTTTGCCAAATCTTTCATCAAACAACCACGTCAAGACTTGTCAAGACCAACAACTTCGCCGACGACGACCACAACGACCATCCACCATCGCAGACAAGGCACGAGGGCCCAGCAAAGCCACCGACGATTCGACCTGAGCACGCACCCTCCTCGCCCATTGACAAATGGCCACAAGTGCCCACCCTCCGCTTCGTGAGCGCCCACTAGGATCCTCAGCGGGCGTCGACAAGGGCTCACGACCACATGACGGGCCAGTAACTCGACGAAGGGTGAAGAGCACCCACCCATGACTTTGTGAGTGCCCACGGCGACCATCGACGAAGCACGACAAGCCACCACACCCATTGACGAATGGCCACGAGCACCCACCCTCCACTTCGTGAGCGCCCACGAGGATCCTCAGCAGGTGTCCACGAGTGCTCACGACCACACGACTGGACAGCAACTCAACAAAGGGCGAAGAGCGCCCACCCACGACTTCACGAGTGCCCACCACGACCTTTGACGAAGGTCGACAAGCGCCCATCCACGACTCCGTGAGCGCCCACCACGACCATTGACTGCCCACTCCGCAGTGCACGGTCACTGGCACCTCCCACGTCACCCCTCCCCAAGGGAGGGCATGCCGCTCATTGGCAGCCACGTCACCGTGCAACGTGATGCAAGGACGACAACGCGGACAACAAACGATGGACGGACGATGGCGAAGATACGCCGAGGACGACCAGCGTCCACACACCACCACCATCGACGAAGCACGACGGGCGCCCACTCACCAGTTCGTGAGCGCTGCACCACCATCGATGAATGGCGACGAGCGCCCACTACCACACGAAGGACCCCACGAGTGTGGGACGACGATGACGACGAGAACGTCGTCGTCTTTGGTTTATATTGGATATAGTAAGTACCCCCCACCTCTAACTCTATCACTCCCACCCAACCCCCTCCATCACTCCCTCCCCCCCTTCCTCAGTCCCTCCCTCTCTGCAGTCCCTCCCTCTCTGCACTCTCTCCCTCTCTGCACTCCCTCCCTCTCTGCAATCCCTCCCTCTCCCTTTCCTCACTCCCTTCTTCCCCCCTCCCTCACTCCTGTCCCCCCTCCCTCACTCCTTTCCCCCCTCCCTCACTCCCACCCTCTTCCCTTTCCTTAATACTCAATATAGTTATATAAATCTATGTAGTTCTATTGCAATAAACATTTTTCTTCTGTCTAACTCCCTACCCATATTCTGCCACTATAGTCAAGGATGATAAGTTTATGAATATGTTTTGGATGGATATCAATAGAAAGGAATGATACCCCAGCTTGATATATGATATATCCTGGGTCAGGATATAACTTAAGAATATATATTGGTAATATATCCTGGTTCAATATCTTGTTGAAAATATATCCTGGTTCAATATCTTGTTGAAAATATATCCTGGTTCAAGATATAGTTGGAATATATGTCTTGTGAATATCTCCTGGTTGAAGATATAGTTGAAAGATATATCCTGATTCAGGATATAGTTTAAAAATAAATCTGGGTTGAGAATGTAGTGGGAAAATTCAAGATATACTTGTAAAATGATGTATCTTGATTCAGGATATTGTTGATAAGTATATCTTGCTTCAGCATCTAATTAACATATTGATATAGTTCAGAAATTATGTATTTGGATTCATGATATGGTTGAAAAATAGAGTTGGTTCAGGATTTAGTGGAAAGATATGTGTGACCCCCTATTGTGACATGGTGAATAGAATTTGTCAGAGGAGAACAGAATTGGTTGTCCACAAATTTTCAAGAGTCAAGAGAAAGAGAAAGGAAGGGAGGGAGAGGAGAGGGAGAGAGGGAGAGAAGGAGAGAAACAACAAAGAACTTGGTGAACTCTTGTTTTTGAAAGTGGGGTGGAAGAGATGTTTGATATCACATGTGGAGGCTTGACTGTCAGGGGATGGTAATGTTTTTGAAACTGGGTTGGGAGAGATGTTTGATATCACATGCAGGGGTTTGACTAGCAGCAGATGGTAATACAGATGTTGGTGGGGTATGAAGATAAGGTGCAACTGGAGATCTCAGAGCTGAAGTAGAGGCAGAGGTGGAGGGGATTTCTAAGCAGCTAAAAAATTCCATGGTGTGAACTGTATCCATGGTGTTGAAGTGGATAATACTTATGCAACTCCAGAATCTTGGACTGAATAGCTTCATCGTGAATCACATATGTCATTGATGCCCAAATTTGTCAGAGGATGAATCTGTAATGTGAACTGTATTCATAGTGTGATTGGAAGTGGATGATACTTGAGCAACTCAATGCTATTGATGCCTCTTATTGGTGTTGTTAGAGTTCTTTGACTTGGACATTGCTGTATTCCTGTGAATACAGAATAGTTAGTAATTTAGAATCTTAGGAGAACTTACTACTTAACCTGATTTGTATGAATGAGGTTGATAGTTGAGTTGAGTACGTGATAGTATGTATACCTTAGGTCATGTGAATCCTAAACATGAGTTGTACCTTATACGTTTGATGGTGTGTATGCTTAACATTGATGAAGCGACTTGTGTCGGAGACGTTAGTACTAAGACATTAATGTTTCGGACTTAAGTATTTGATAGCATGTAGCTTTACCAAGTACTTATATCAAGTTGCACTTAATCTGCTTAAGTTCACATGAAGTTTATATGGGTAAAAGGAGTGTCTTTATTCTAAAGTACGAACATGTTATATACTCCTACTTGTTTTTCTAGATACTCGAAGAAGGTCTTAGAATCTTCCAAGACCTTCGAGTGACTACTATTGCCCTTGTTTAGTTTACAAGTATTTGTTAGTATAAGCTTTGTTTGCCAAACACTGTCAAGCAGATGTGTTGCACATACAGCATATGAAGACACATTGAATTTGGGTATATACACACTACATGACTAGATCCAACATGCTTATGTACATAATAGAATCCAATGAACTTGTTAGATAGAGGAATTGGATGAGAGGGAAATAGAGATTACTAAGGGCATATGGAGGTACTATAACAGGTGTCTACATACTGGGAGCACAAACCAGCCATAGTGCCAAAACCTCTGGAAATCATTGCAGAATCTTCCAGAATATATACCCCAGACAGCAAAAAAATCACAAGTTTTTTGCTGAAACTAGGACCCCTGACACCTCTACAGACCAGAAAAATATATCCTTACCACATTTGTTTCACAAAATATATCCTAAGGCCAAGACAGGGCAAAAATATATTTCTAAGGTGTGACAGTAACATTTCAGGGTCCACTCACCAAAAATATATCCTGACTGCATTTCACTTGCAAAATATATTTTGGAGGTGTGACACAGACATTATAATTTTTGTGTGACATTTCAGGGTCCATGTCTCAAGAATATATTTTAGATTTCAGGGCTTTCTAGGACCCATATATATCTAGAATATAGATATGGTCCATGACATTTAGTCATGTAACTTACGTGGAGTTTGCATGACTAATAGTCAGTTGGTAGTGGGTGACTGAAGTGGAACCTACCAGCTCCAAGGCACCCATCCTAACCCAGGGTGACGTTTCACCTGTGGTAATGATGGATTTTGAAAATGCAGCCCTAGATTTCTTTGTCTCCAAGTCCATCCCTGCAGACAAGCAGGTTACTATGATTATACCTGGCATCAAAGACCTCTGTATTCGTGATTGGATTGCCGTGCATCATACGTGCATCGTGGCTCTTCCCTTTGCTGACTTCATGGCCGAAATGCGTATGAATTACCTTCCCCCTGATTGGGAAGACCTTGTGCGCAACGAAATCCTTACATCCACGCTGGTGAACTCTAAGATGACCTTTTGGAACTGGTCCCAACAACTGCTGAAGTTAAACTGCCTCTTGCGAGGCACATCGTCTGCACTTGATGATGCATCCCTCTGTAATCACTTAGAAGCACACCTTGACGACGATCTCAAGGCAAAGGTCAGACACAGTGAAGCTCGCAAAGACAAGAACTTCAAATCTTGGGTCACAGCTGTTCGCCTTCTTGACGAAGCTCACATGGTTGAAACAAAACGCCAGCACAAATTAATTGAAGAGACCATTCTTCAGTGCCAGGCTAAGTGACAGAACACAAACAACGACACCTTACACAGACCGTCGCATCGCGCCAATACCACCCAAAACAATGCCTCCTCCTCCTCTGCATCATCCAGCACTTATGTCCAACTTCCACCTCTTACCGATGATGAACGCGCGCTCCTCAATGATCATGAGGGTGTACCAAGTGTCGCAAACTCTACGTGGACCATTGTTCGCATAATTGCCCAGACGGCTTCCCCCCGGGCAAGGGTTACAAGACGTCGACCAACGCCAACATAACCACTGCGAAGAAAGCCAAGGCGACCACGAAATCCATCAATAAAGCTGTCGCCGCTACTACCGCGACAATTGAGCCTGTTGACTCCAACAATGAACTTTCTGCGGCGGCCGCTATTCTCCCAAAGTCTCCCAGCGAGTACAACTTGGATTCTGATGAGGACTGGGATGTTTCGCGCCATGAGGTGAGTCTGCCTATCTGTGGCAAACACCTAATCTGGGAATGTCAGATACACAGTGTAACTGAAGACTTTCCAGTGAAAACCCGCACGCTGATTGACAATGGTGCCCATCTCGTCCTTATCTGCCCAGAACTAGTCGAACGCCTTGGATTGAAAAAGTATAGATTGCCTAAACCCAAACTCATAGATGTCGCCTTCAGCAACCACAAAACAAAAACCGAATTGTACAATTATGTCAAACTTTCCCTTACTTCATTAGACTGCACTTGGACTTCACGCTCCGTTAAAGCTATTGTTATGCCGGGCCTTTGCGCCCCTGTTGTTCTTGGACTGCCCTGGCTCGCCCACAACTCGATTGTTACAGACCACGCCTCTCGTACCTGCATAGATAAATTGAATTCATATGATTTGTTAAATCCGCCACCCATGTCTCCACCCCCACCACCAAAACTGAAAGTCCGTGAACAAATAAAAAACACTAAGGCAGATAAAAAGTTGGTTCTCGCAGAACTGATGATGGTCTGTAACAACAGGATCAGGCATTTAAACCTTACACCTGAAAAGGTTAAAGATTTTGATGTGGCCGGTGCCATTCGTGAAAGAATTGAAAACCTAGCAGCAATGGAAGCATTGAAAGAACACGAAGATAAACTGAGATCTGAGTACAAAGTTGTTTTCGAACCAATACTGCACGTCGACAAACTACCAGAAGACATCTATGCAGAAATCAACATCAAAAATGCAGAAAAAACGATCAAATCGCGATCTTACCCGTCTCCATGTAAATACAAAGAAGTGTGGCAAATTCTGATCCAACAACACTTAGACGCTGGACGTATCCACCCATCATCTTCACCTTGCGCTTCACCAGCATTTATAGTGCCAAAGGCTAACCCAAATGTTTTGCCGTGGTGGGTGAACGACTTTCGACAACTGAATGAAAATACTGTAACAGATTCTCATCCCCTTCCCCATATAGATGACATCCTGAGTGATTGCGCGAAAGGTAAAATCTGGGGAACGATAGATATGACAAACAGTTTTTTCCAGACGAGAATGCACCCTGACCATGTCCATTTGACGGCCGTTAACACCCCCCTTGGGTTGTATGAATGGCTGGTGATGCCGATGGGACTGAAAAATGCGCCTGCCATCCACCAACAGCGAGTAACTGCCATGCTGTGCACACTGATTGGCAAAATCTGTCATATTTACATGGACGACATCATAATCTGGTCAAATTCCTTGGAAGAACATGAGTGCAATGTCCGTGCTGTGCTCCAGGCACTTCGTGATGCTCGTCTCTACGTCAACCCAGATAAAACACATCTGTTCTGTACCGAAATCGATTTACTGGGACACCACATCAGTGCCCAAGGAATTGAAGCTAGCAAACAAAAAATCGAATGCATTCTGTCTTGGCCCAAACCGAAGAGTGCCACGGAAGCTCATAGCTTCCTGGGCCTCGTCCGGTATGTTGCAGCATTTTTGCCTTCGCTCGCTGATCACACAGGTGTGCTAACCGAACTTACAACAAAAGACTCCGAAAAGTTCTTTCCATCGTGGACACCCAGGTATCAGACAGCATTTGACGCTATCAAAGCGATCGTAACAGGCCATGAGTGCTTGACAACTATTGATTTTGCTAAAATGCTGGACCACAAAATCTTCGTAACCACTGATGCAAGTGATAAGCGCTCAGGTGGAGTACTCTCCTTTGGGGAAACATAGGAGACCGCCCATCCCATTGCCTTCAACTCCATGACCTTCAAAGGTGCGGAGTTGAACTACCCTGTACACGAAAAGGAACTTCTGGCAATCATCTGTGCATTGAAAAAATGGTGAGTGGACCTTTTAGGCTCACCTTTTCTCATCTACACTGACCACAAAACGCTTGAGAACTTTCATTCCCAGAAAGACCTGTCTCGACGCCAAGCTCAATGGATGTAGTGTTCGCAGGTCCAGTTAAGTCCAGTTTTTTACCTCAAAACGACGCAACTGGCAACCGCAACCGGTCTAGACCGATCCAAATATTGAGGGACCGCAACCGGACCGCTTTGGACCGGTCCTAATCGGTCCACAACGCGAAAAAGACCGGTCCAGACCAGTTGCGACCGGTCTTTTGTTATAAAATTTATTACACCACAGAAACTAAATATTACCTCACGTACATTGCATACGTAGATAGATATTTTAATTCTCCGTAGACTGATCAAAAATTTAAGCAATTCCGTCAAGACTTGACTGAGATATGGTGAAAACAGAGAGAACATACATACAGATTGCGTATAAAAATGTTGTTGGCCATATCTCAACCAATTCTTGACCGTTTTTGATGATTCAGGGACCGAAAATTAAGTAAAATGTGCACGGGTAAGGTCCAGCATGTGATGGGACGAAAGACCGGTTGCAACCGGTCTAAACCGGTCTTTTTCGGTTTTTATATATTTACAAAAACATGGCAACTGGCAACTGGACTGACCACAAATGTGGGCAACTGCAACTGGAAAAAGACCGGACCGTGGTTCAGTCCAGTTCAGTCCTATGTATATTTTCAGTCCTGTAGACTGGACCTGCGAACACTAAATGGATGGAATTTCTTTTACAATATGATGCAAGGATCGTCTACATTAAAGGGGAGGACAACAACATTGCCGATGCCCTCTCCCGCCTGCCTGTAGCAGATTCAACATCCGCAGATGCAGCCATGAGACATCCATACGATTTCTGTGAAGATGACGACACACTGTGTCCCATGGCATCTCTGTCGGTACCTTCACCTCAAGGAAGTTGGGGGACAGCAAAATCACTATCTGCATGCAATGTGTCACTGAACTCCATCAACGCAACTCTAGAAATTATGGCAGACAGAGCCTTTCTAAATGCCATTAAAGCGGGGTATGCAGATGACACTTGGTGCAAAACCTTGCCATCAGCGGCATCAAGCATATCAGGCTTGGTTCTACGCGATAATCTCTGGCATATCGGTGACAGACTGATCATTCCCCAAACAGGAAATCTTCACGAAACGTTATTTTCACTTGCTTACGATGTCTTAGGACATTTTGGTTTTCACAAAACCTATGGCTCACTGAGGAATGCGTACTACTGGCCCAATATGTGTTGTGACCTTGAACAGGTTACGTGGCATTGTGCCCCAAATGCCAATGCAACAAGTCATCAACGGCTAAACTGTATGGACCACTGCACCCTCTCCCTGTACCAGACCAATGCTGTGACTCTGTGGCGATCAATTTCATTGGCCCTCTACCAGAAGATGATGGGAAAAACTGTATGGTCACATTCACCAATCGCCTAGGCAGTGACATTCAACTCATTCCCACTCAGACAGACATTACTGCAGAAGATCTGGCCTTCATTTTCTTTGATAAGTGGTACTGCGAGAACGGCCTACCCACTGACATTGTTTCCGACAGGGATAAATTGTTCACGTCTAGGTTTTGGAAGGCGCTACACAAGCTGACCGGCGTGAAGCTGAAACTATCAACTGCCTATCATCCAGAAACTGACGGCGCAAGTGAAAGAACAAACAAAACTGTCAATCAAGCATTGCGGTAGTATGTCGAGTGAAACCAATTGGGATGGGCTCATGCTCTGCCTAGAGTTAGATTCGACATGATGAATATGATTAACAAGTCCACAGGATTCACACCTTTCCAACTCCGTTTCGGTCGAAGTCTGCAGGTTATTCCACCGTTGGTACCTGCTAAATCATCAGCAACTGTTGCCGATATTGACGTGTGGCATGTCATTTGTCAACTAGAAACCGATGTTTTCGAAGTGCAGGATAACCTCCTGAAAGCTAAGATTTCACAATCAGTCCAAGCTAATAAACATTGCATGCTGAAATTTCCATTCACGATAGGTTCTTGGGTCCGTCTCTCCACTCTTCACCGACGCAATGAATACAAGGCGAAGGATGAGAAGAGATTAGCTAAGTTTATGCCACGATATGATGGACCATATACAGTTACTGACATTGACAAGGAACACTCGACAGTGACCCTGGATTTACCAAATTCTCCAAACATCTGCCCCACCTTCCACACTTCTGAAGTCCTTCCTTACATTGAATCAGACACTACCCTATTCCCCTCGCGTCACTTTGAAGAGCTTGATCCGATAATAACTGAAGACGGCAACGAGGAATACTATATCGAACACATTCTCGATGCACGCCAACATGGCCATGGTTACCAATACCTCGTTCGTTGGTGCGGCTATGGACAGGAACATGATTGATGGTTACCTGGTTCTGAAATTCAAGATTGCGAAGCCTTGGACGTCTGGCTGGCCTCTCGAAAAGGATCTCCTTCTTCTTAGGTAGATTTTTTTTTGTCTTTGCCAGCCGGTAGCTTTTTCCCACAGGGTTTTGACACACCTGGCATTCAGATTATACTTACCTTTCATTTACTAACACAAGACTTTCTATTTTTTTCAATCTTTGCTTTTTTCAGAACGGGGGAGGGTATAATCCTAGGATTACTACTTCGGGCTTTGTTTGGCATCAGCTTCCAATATATTTGGCTCACATTACTTCTCACCCACTCTCTTACTCCCTTACCACCACATACCTCTCTTACATGCTCTCATATCCCATACCTCTACTTCTCTTATATCTCCAGAATCATACACATGGTTAATTTCTGTTGTCTGTTCTGTGAGTAGTGTTATCTATCCTGTGAACACAGGATAGATTTCCACTGAAATGGGAATGAGATCGACACTGGAAGGAACTTAGAATAAGTGGTAGCTTTTCTCTACCCTTCCGGGAGGGTTTTTAATGCACCCACGGCTCCTATCTATTAAAATACATCGATGACTTGAAGGGGAGTGTTAATAAACATCAGACTAACAAGCCTAGCCTATGTATTAGGTAATCTATGTAGTTAAACAACTACGTACATCTCCTATGTCTCTGAATAAGACTTGCCTCCTGCTTCCATCTCAATATGAAGTCAAGGAATGGTCAATTTCAAGTCATCTTGTCGTCTAGTCCTCGTCATCCGAATCACTATCTGGATCGCCTTCGTCCTCTTTTCGACCACACTGTCAATAGGCAATTTGTTGAAGTCTGTTCAAACTCCGACATCAGGTGATCATATTGAGTTTTGAGTCAGCGCAAAAATTCCTCATTCTTCCCAAGTTCTTCCTTTCCACCACACCCACCAGAGGTTGATGAATGGCCTTCTCCCTTGCACGACGAACAGCCTCCTCTCTCGACGAACGGTTTCCTCCCTCAGCAGATGCTCCCTCAATGAATGGTTTTCCTCTGAACGACCGGTGTCCTCCCTTGACAACTGGTATCGAGAAGAAGTCTAATTCATAAGTTGATGGACGGGAGTGGCCTCCTCTTCCAATGGACGGTTTCCTCTTTCAATGGACAGTCTCCTCTTCCAATGGACAGTTGCTTCTTCCAATGGACAGTCTCCTCCCACTGCGTGTTAGGTAGTACCATCCCAAGGGCCTCCTCCCTCCCTTGACAAACGGCCTCCTCTCTCAATGGACGGTCTCGAGATGGTCTTGCCATCAATGAAGTCTCCTGGATGGTATCCCCTTGACGCACTGTCTCCTCCCCCGCTGAATGGTATCCTTTCTCCTCCCTCAATGACTGTCTCCTAGCTGAACCATCTCCTCCTTTGATGAATGGGGCTCTCGGCCTACCCCCTACCTTTATGAATGGTGTCCTCGACCTCCCCCCGATTTCATCAAGTGCTCTCCTCCCTTCTTCGACAAAGGGACAAACAGCCTCTTCTCATATGAAGATGCTGCAGTTTGGACTTCAAGTGGTTGATATAAGCTAGAGGGCTATATGTACAGAAATAGTCAGTATGCTTGGGGAATATATGATTTTACATTTCCATGACTCTGACTTGGTGTGTCGTGATGAGAAATACATGAGTAACATATTTCAGCATGACTGGAATGAGACAATTACATGACTATAGCATAACTACATGACTACCAAATGACTGTAACCTACATGTAGTTGACATCAGGAGACGGGACCACATGACTTGACACAACTAAAGCCGGACTTGGCAAAGTCAACTTGTAGTCAAAATTTTGTAAAAAAGACTGCTTTTAGTCATGTCGTGCATTTTTGTGCAGTAGCATGACTACCATATGACCGAGACCTGACGAATCGTTTTTACTGAGTGTCACTATTTCATGTTACTGTACCTTACTGTACTTGATGGTAATAAAATTCCAGTCCCCAACTTCTATATTCAGGTTATAGCGGTGGTGGCCCTCTGGTAGGCTTGTTCGTTTTGCAGCTGGTTGGCAGGCTGGGTTCCTTCGGTGTTCCGGATCGTAGAAAACCGATCGGCTTTCGTTTTCCTCATCACATGTATGTACACACTTGTGTATATTCAATGCTCGCCCTGCAGTTGTGCACTCACCCACCTGACAAATTCTCATGGACATCGCTCATAGGCTGGACAACTATTCACAAGATCCTCGAAGAACGTATCCCACAGTGGACAGACAATTGGACCACAACCTGCTGAGCTCAACTTGATCACCCAACGATTGTCCAGAACGAATCTTCTCAACAAAATCCCGTCTTGTATGAGATACACATTCTTGTTTCTTGGGGCAAGCTTAAGGACTTTGAGACAGGCTTACCGCCACAGATCGGCTTTTCATCATCTTCCATCTCACACCGCTTATCACTGTCAGTGAACAACTTCCCAGGCAATTAATTCATCCTGAATGCAACCTCTAGACCTAATCAGGAGTTTTTGGGTCCATTTTCAATTGTAGAGCGATATTTATGTAGTCCTATTGATCCTACATACAAGCTCGGAGTAGACACTATCTCTGCAATACACACGTGATGCTGAAAGGGCTTCATTTTTTTACCAAGATGACTGAAGGAACCCAGCCACCAAAGGCTTCGCAAAACGGAACAGACCTTATATCATTACAAATCGACTATCATTTGCAATACTAAGGTCTGTATAAGAGACTAGCCCTCCGGTGGCTATGTTGTTTACACTTGTAAAATGCCGGCCGTCGGTTCAAAAAAATAAGAGTTAGGAGTTTAAAATAAATGATTCAATCAATGTTTGTATTTGTAAGTTAAACCTTATATTTTGCAGGTAGAATAAATATCTCAAATGTAGCTCGTTTTTTTTGTATGTAAGCCCCGGAACGACAGCTGGGTAGGAGGCTGGAAAAGCTGACAAGTTTTTTGTAGATTTGCTGATGAAGAGTGTGACACTACCCTCGTCACATTCTCCATTTGACAGTCACACCATCATCAACTTCTCTCACCTGCTCCTTTTTTTCCTTCTTCCTTTTCTCTTGTTCTCGGTCAGACATAGGTTTGGTGAATGCACGTGGCACAGGGCCTTCCTCCACATAACGTGTAGCAATCTCCACGGGCTGGACAAGAAGACACTGTTCGTCCTTGGAACAAGCTGGCACAAAGACGGACGAAACTAGTGGAAGCATTTCGACAGCATACTGGCAACAAAATTTGAATGACTTTGCGCCTGATGTATCAAAAAAAACATACCTCGACACTAAATGAAGGAAACCTGCACGTAGGCTGTAAGTCCTTGGCGAGATGTATCTCACCCTCCAAAGTCTTCAGATACATATCCTGTGGAGCATCCTTAGGTGGGGCCCACCATACCGCCAACTCAATTTTGTCTACCTCCTTCACGTCCCCATGTTTACCACCACCGATATTGAATTCTTTGACTCTGGACAGTGAGTTTGAGAACCCAGCAGCAAGGGAGTCACTGGAAGTCGGTGGTTCGTTTGAGAAATTCTCAGTGGCTGGTGACGAATATTGGGCATAGCGGACCCGCCGTGTGAGCCAGACAATGGGAGACTTGGGTGTTAAGAGAATGCTGAGAGCATGGGAATTTGAGCTTTCGAGGGTCAAGTAGCACGGAATGATGGTGCCATGGGTATAACAAAGCTGAAAAGATCATGCTTCAATCGTTTATCGGAGAAGAAGAGATAGTAAGATTTACGGGTTTGGCAAGTGAGAGAGTACATTCCACTTCTACTTTTTGCTGGCCTAGAAGCTCCCCAGAAACCGTAACTTTCGGGAGAGTTTGCCATCCGTCCGGATCTTGTGCTGGTCCAGGCAGCGGGGCATGTTCAGTATATGCTCGCTGGCGAGCGACCGAAGCTGGGGGAGGGGTGACAGAAGGTGTATAAACGATTGTTGTATTCAATCTAGTTGTCAGTTTCATTAATCAAATGTTCTTCGAAACAGTGAAATCAATTTACTTGCTAGCCGGGCGCAGCATCCCGTGCGCAACATGTAAGCCAAGCTCGTATTGCACGTTCGCATGGATGCCACGCTCCAAGAAAGTTTGAGGAACAGGAAATACATGCATTGGAAGGGTGTGACTGCGGCCTTCAAGTTGTGCCAGAGCTCGGTCCTGCTCCTCTGCTGCTCGGTCTTGCTCCTCTACTGCTCGTTTCAGTCTCGCCTTCTCTGACTCTTCTGGGGCGTTCGTACTCAAGTGCACAGATGAGGGGTTCTTCGAACCTGAAGAATAAGTGGCATTCACGGGTATACTGAGTGAATGGAAGTGTGAACCAGGTGGCACAGTGGCAGGTGGAAACGAAATCGATGTTGTTGCTGTCGCAGGACTCGAACTGGATGTAGAGATAGAGTCCAAAGAAGTTTGCAATGACGGTGGGAGGAACGGAGTAGAAGTCGATATATCTACATGGGTGGGGAAGGGGAATACAAAGGGGAACTGGTACGTCCCCTTAAGTCTTCCATTGAACTTTTTGTTGGACCCTGGTTCTGGGGAACGGGGATCCCCATCGGCGCGTGTCCAGATGCCGACTTGGTGGTCAAGAAATGTGTCGGATTCTTCGGCAAGGTAACCTCTTATGATGCACCCATGGACCTAACATAAAGGATCAGTACGTTGTGCATCCCTAGAAGATGAATCTAAACCCACAGAGACAGTGATAGAGTTGACAGTCTGAGGGCTATCCAGCGTGAACTCAATCAAGCCCGCAATCATATCGCCACTTGAGAAGGGGGGAAACTTCTGGTGTCTTGGTGAAGCATCGAGCGGAGGTTGGCTGAATACACGTAACGTAGCCCATGGCTTGTTCTTCAACCCACTGCAGATGCTGTATGTGTGTTCGGTGCGCGAAACCCCTTCTTCTGTGACTTGCTGGGACAGAACGTCGAACAGGTGAGAATATCGAGGAGGAACGAATGAATATCGAGGGGGTACTGATGCAACCGAAACCCTACGATTGCTATTCTCTGAATGGGAAACACCCCCAGCTAAGGTCCTAGTATCGCTATCGTCAGCTTGCGAATGAGTGAGTTCCCCGTGCGCGCCAAGATCGTCGCCCCAGAGGGCAACAGTGTCGGCCTCCTGGTCTAACACCGAATACTGAGGTAGGAGTGTATTAATAGTGTCAAGAGAAGCCGTAGAGGTATGATTATGAAATCTTCCAAGAAGTTGAACGCCTGAAGGCCAAGGAGAGTCGTCACAAGGGGGTAGAGAGTGCAGATCCTGAGATGCTCGATGACCAGCCATGCGCTAAAGGGCGAAACTTGACGAGATGAGCTGCTTTCACCTAAGACAGCCTTTTAAGCTGGAAATCGGTGCCCTGCTCTTCAGCGATGTGCTTGCCATCATGATTCGACAAAAGGAGTCCTGAGCGGCATGCGGAGGTGACCAACCATCTCCACAAAACAGATGGTGTGTGGGCACACAGGAACCGTGAAGCATCCACTCCCAAACAAGAAACAATAAGGAAGGCTCCTCAGTAGTGCTTGGAAGTTAGGTTAATTAACTGGAAAATAACCGAGACCAGACCGGACCTAACCGCAAAAAAACCGGACCGCGGTTAGTGGTTAGTCAATTCTGGAAATGAAATAACTGGTTATTTTGCGGTTAACTAACCGTTAAAAAACCGGTTATGACCGGTTACAACCGACCCTATTATACCCCTTCAAAACGCATCTAAAAGCATGAGAAACACTAAAAATCTGACAGAGTTATGGTCAAATCTCTATAATATTGGCTAAAATAGTAGGCTTTCAAGAATATTATTATAAAATTGTCAATTCTTCACCGAATTTAGCGTTCTTGGGCTTGTTTTAAAGCTACGACGCATGGCAATAATATTTACTGCAAGGAATATGAGAAATATACGCCATTTTAATCGATTTTCTATTTTTCCGGTCCTAACCGGTTAGTAACTGCAACTAACCGGTTTTCGTCGGTTATCTTCAGTCCAGTTAGGTTATTTTGGGTCTGGGAACGAACCCTAACCGGTCTCGGTCTCAGTTAGAGCCCCTGGGCACCCAATAACCTAACCTAACCGGACTTTCAAACACTACTCCTCAGGCTGTCCTTGGGTTGGCTTCAGGCGCTGCGTGGGTGAAACGGTAGTGCGTGAAGGGGAGAGACAGCCAGGGGTTGTTTCATTGAAATGACCAGACCCCCGCAGATGCGGATCGCAATCTATTGCAAACCTGTTTGAGTGATATAAAGGGAGTCGTGCGGTTTGTAAGTTTTGAACTTTGTGGTAAATGTGATGTCAGTACAGAGACTTCTGGAGTCTGGGGTTGCATCAGGAGCGTATACAAGATGATACGACGAGTCAGAACTTCTCTTTGAAGATTGCAATTGTATCTCCAACTGGACCTCTCCAACAAACACGCAGTCCACTGTTCAAGCCATTGATTAGAATAGAGGATCCGGTCACCAGTGTCGCCGTTGATAAGCTTAAGAAATCTTCTTTCAAAGTTCAAGTTGCACATGAAAGGTCCTTGACTCGCAAGCCATCCCGTATTTTGCGTAGCCAGGTTAAAAAGAGGTATCGCAGATAAGGAAACCAAGACCACAAGGAGAAGGGATCGAAGATGCGCCTCATGTAATGATGTCATCGCTGAAGAACAAGCAAAGCTCTTCAAGGGACAAAATATCGCAAGCATCCATGAGAAATCAACCTTATCAGCAGAATGTCAGATGATACTCAGAAGATGGTGCCATCCTGTTGAGGGAGAGCAGGTGACCACTGGTCTATAGTGGCTGAGAACACGAGTAAACCCTATGTTTGTAGCAAGGGATTGTCTTCTAGACTAGTGACTATTGTTCTCCTGGACAATAGGTTGAAAAAAAAAAATCCTGGGATGACAGCGACCAGAAGTAGTTAGCCGTTTTTGGACTTCTGAAGTTGGCGTGGACGATGACGCCGAATTCATAGTAGGTAGTAGAGGAAAGAACGAACAAGGATGTCGTGTATGTTGGGTGTGAGCAATGAACAAGGCGTAAGACGAGGACAAGGCTTTTCATCAAGTGAGGGGGGATGTTTGTTTGTGTGGGCACAACCGTGACTAAATTAGAGTGCCTCTTGTTGACCTCTTGTTCTAAAATTACATCGCCGCTTCATCCCTTACCTCGGCGACCATGTGCAATTCTGTGCTAGTCTGCAGCGTGCCCTATTCATTGTACTCGTTAACGAGGAACAATAGCCTGCAAAGTTATAAATTCCAGACAATTCAATACCTCAAGTTCATAGCAAGTACTTGCTACTGCACCCATTGGCATCTACATCCTACCGCGATCCTTGCGCGAGCCAGTCTATACCACATTCTATAACGAACATCCCTATCACCATCATGTTGACCAACGGAACTCTTGCAATTGCCATTGTCAAGCGCCAAGTCATGGTTGTCCAAGGTACTTCATTTCCCCAAGTTTTTTTTTACCAACATCTCTGACAATGAATCTCCATCACAGCTACCCGCTCCCACACAACACGCGACAAATACCTAGACGTCAACACTTTCTCCCTCTTTGGCGACGGTGTCTTCCTCGCCTCAGACGTCCCAAAAGCGCGCATCGCGTCGTCTGACGTCCTCACCATATTTCCATCCACTCACGTCGCCTCACAGGGCTTGCTCGAGCTGCCCAAACAAGCGTTCTCCGAGTTTGTCGAGATCAGCTCTCGGTATCAGAAGCGATACGAGAGTCTTTGGAATTCGTGGATCTCTAAACATTGATTCACTTCGGGTCCTCTCACATCCTGCACCTTTGATAGGTGTATACTTCGCCATGATTACCTGCCATATCCACGACTTGCACCAGCTTATACCCGCACACACAACTTGGTCTCCGACAACCACTTGTAGCTCTAGGATTTGATTTTACTGTATCGTTAGCTCAGTTCCAACTGTATCACTACCGCCTCTCTGTACCACGTACACCATATACACCCATATGCCCTATGCACATTTATGCGTTTATTCGTGTGTGAGGAGAAATGTGTGCAATATAAACAAGAAAAGCTACATTGACGAAGATGGATGGTGATTATACAACAGTTGCGATGCGTAAGCGGGATAGCTGGATTGTATCTGATAACCGACGCGAGATGGATGACCATACACAAAAAATCCGACAAAGCACACGGGGTACAGCAATGGGGAGGAGAGATAGTAGGATATAAAAGAATAGGGGGGAACATAACATAATTTAACGGTAGTATAACTTAACGTGCGCTCAACACGCTTGTGTTGCATATGGGTCTCGATAAATCTAAAGTCACAACATCAGTCTATGAAGTTGAAAGAAGACCGCAAATAACCAACCTTGATATCCCAAATATTTCCAATTTTCTTATCCCCCTCGGGCGCCTCCGAGCTCATACCCTCATCCTCATCATCATCCGGGATAATAGTATCCTGCGGCACCTTATCCGCGTCAGACTCGAGTTTTAATCCCTGCTCGTTCGCCAAATGTAGTAAACAGATGAAACAGAAACTCGTGCTGATCTCGTCCATCTTGTCCTTCGGGTACGACTTTTGTAACCCCGATATGACCTGGCTGAACTGTCGAGATTCGTTCGGGTTTGTTGGTTGTGGGCCAGAAGTCTCGTCCACGTCCTGTTTGTTATAGCCATCAACTGTCTCTCTTTTTGGCTGCGGAGAAGGGAAGAAAAAAGACAAACCATGCTCTCATCGTCTTCCTTGTCATCATCCAACTTTGTCTTCGCAATCACAATATCCAACCCCTTCCATATATTCTCCTTCAATTTCCTAACATCTACACGCTTCGCCCTCTTCGCGTAATTAACAGTTTCTGGACGGACACGGCGAGTTTGGCCCTGAGTAGCAGCAAGCAGGTCTTGTTCGCCTGCATCTGTGTCCTGCACGCCAACGCCATCAAAGCCGTCGTCGAAGCCGGGCCCATCGTCGTAGTCATCTTGGAAGAACTGAGTGTTGAATGGGACAGCACCTCCAGCTATGATTTGACGTTAGTCCATGTGCATTTGGGGAGCAACCTGAAAACTTACTTTCATCCCCATCATGGTCATCATCAACGGCAGCTTGACCCGCAGCAGCCTGTGCCCAGAAATTCTCATCGACCTCCCCATCCCCATTCTCGTTCAACTTGGCTCTCCTTCCACGCATTTTCAACTGTAACCAAGTTAAGAAACATTCCCACAAAAAGACGAGGGAAAAGACATACGAAGAATTTAGGCTTCAAAAACAACGTGACAAGCTGCCGACTTGAAAAATGCATGTCATCAGGTAACCGATGTTCGTCCTTCTTTTCCTTTTTCTTCTTACTCTTCCTTGCTCCGGGGCCCGTACCAGGTAAATTGATCCCAGCACCTTTACCTGTCACAGGAGCGAAGAGCTCCTTGCCAATCTCCTTGAGATCTTTCACAGGGGGAGTGAGAAAGTCGATTTTGGCGACTTCCTTCTTTTGGCGCGTTTTGGTCGCTTTAGTCGCAGCGGTTCCTTGTGCGTCAGCTGTTCGTTTTCTTCTCAGTATGGGATATATTTGGTACAAGGAAAACAACATACGTCTGCGAATCACTTTTCTCAATTTCCAATGTTCGGGTCCAGCCCAATTCTTGAGCAAGTTTTGGTCAAAGTAATCAAGGGCACCGCTCTCTCCATCCGCGCCAGTCATCGCCAAGACCAAATCGCGCTCGTTCGGTAGCCTGCGAGGATCGAAGGGCACGAAAGGCCCTGGTTGTCCTCCTTCACCTTCTCCCCCAGGACCTACAGAGCCATTGGAATGTTGATCCCCTCCGAAATCTTCGCCACCCATATCGCCGCCTCCGCCGTAATCTTCCCCGCCAATGGCGTCGGCTCCGCTGAAAAAATCCTCGACGGGGGCACCACTACCGCCGTCGACGTCCATCTGGAAGTCACCGTTCCCGCCTGCATCATCATCATCGTCATCATCATCGTTCCCGGGGTTGTCTTGGAAGAAGGTGGTATCATCGAAAGTAAAGGCGTCTTTGGCGAAGGAAAAGTCTGCTAGGGAATGTGAGATGGCTTTACCCTCTAGAACAGATAGGTCTGGCATGAATTCCTCTAAAAATATAATAAGTCAGAAAAAGTCTTCAAAAATAAGCTTAAAACCTACTGCGCAAGTAACTGAGGTTGACTTCGTCTTCGGGTTCATCCATGTTATCCCCCTCCTCGACTTTAAATACGGAGTCACTGGCATCAAAAATGACCCGCATGCCTCCATCACCACCTAGTCCCAAGCTTAGATGATTCATCAACAGCCCATGAGCGCCTCCCTCGTCAAAATCGGCACAGGTCTTCTTGAACAGCGGGTCAACGCTGAACTCCAGATCTGGTTTTTTATTCCTCAGTTGCTCGGCATCTTTAGCCAACGTGGCCCCAGGCCTCTGCGTCTTTTTCTTCTTCTTGGGCTGGGAAGGGTCTGCATCAGGGTTGTCAGAGTCGCCCTCCTCCCCATCGGCATCTCTTCCCCCAGAAGCGAATTGCTCAAGAGCTTGCCTGTCTCGGTACCGACGCTGTCCACGCGGCTTGTCCAGATCTTGACACACCCGTCGAGCGTACACGACGCGCGTTGAAAGTTGATAGAGTTGTCGTCTGTATTCCTCAACAATGACATGTCATGAAAATAATCAATCAGAGCCGTGTTCCATGAATTGGCGGCGTTAATTTTCTTTTCGCGTCATGAGTCAAAATGCACGAATGTAAGAGAATGGAAAGGAGCGTACGTTATCGGTGGCCATTTTCATCCATTCCTCGAAGTTGGAGCTCATAATTTCCCGGGGGAGGTTGAGCAGCGATGTAGGATCCACGGAATTGAGCTGCTGTTTCTGCTTTGCCGCCCTCGAGCCCTCTGGCGCATCATTCGCGGCAATACCCTCCGACGACGGCCCAGCCATAGCATTCTCCACAACCGTAATCTTCGTACTCTTCCTCCTCCTCCGTTTCTCCGCAGCGTCGTCGTTAATATTGACAGATCTCAGGGGTACACGCGCACCCGCCGCGTCTTGGACAAAACTGGCATCGTTATCAGGGTTATACACCTCGCTGAGCCGTTTCCTAATACCAGACCTCTGTGGTCTCGGTGTTTCTTGCTCAGTCTCTGGATCGGACTCGTTGTCGGAATCGGTGGGTAAGCGAGCTCGACGCGCAGGAGCCATTCTGGAAGTCTTCAACAAAGGCTGTGAGAGCACGTGATCAAACTACCTCGCGTTGTTTGTCTCGACGATACTTGCCAAACAACACCATGGATCCTTTCAATGGCGCTACGACTTCTTTGCCTGTCCCAGAGAGCTTTCAAGCGCCTCAGCGGACGGGGACGACGGCTTTATGGACCCATCTTCTCAGGAAAGACGCGCAGGCGTCCAATAACATCGGAATTATACCACCAATTGCCCCTATTGATAAAAACGCGACGACGATGCGTGTGCTACTGCATGATACACAGGCCAACTTTGAAGCGTTCTCTGCGAGAGTCGACAAGTTAATAAACGTCGTAGAAGAAACGAAACGAGAGATTAAGACGACAAGCACATTATTCGAACGCGAGCATGATACCCTCGTTGGAGATGTCATTGATCTAGGTGCGTCCGTCTGGCTTGAACTATGCGCATACATTTTTTTGCTGACTACACCTATCTCTAGTGAACAGAAGTCAAAAGGAAATTCAAAATTCAATTGGAACCCCAACACAAGCCCCGGCCACAGACGCCTTTTTCAAGGACGTCGACCGACGACTAGAGGGTTTGAATCAACGCCTCGATGCCGCTCATGCTGTATGAATACATGCTTCTCTCTTCTTCGAACATTCTCAATCTGAACATATTCTTCTATTCCTCGTTTTCAAGTTTAACCAAACTCACTCACAGGCTCTTCAAACACAGATGCAAGCCATACTAACTCTCCAGGAACAGCAAGGGACGATCCTAGCTTCTGTATTACCCTTACTGCCCCTCGTTCAATCTATTCCGCTTCATTTGGAGTCCCTCAAAACTGACCTTCGTGCTGCTGTTCAAGCTGAAGCCGTTTCTATAACACCTAAAGCTTCGACTGGATTTAACCAGAACCAAACACTCCCGTTAGCCAAAAAAAGAACTCACTCTGATGTTGATGTAGACGCCAATTTCTCTTCGCCCATGTCTTCCCTGTTGACGGCCAAGCGGGCGCGTGTCGAGAAAGCGACGGAAGCTGCAGAAACTACATCAGCCAAGAGGGATTCCGAGACCGAAGCACCCCGCCTAGCAATGTCGTCTCCAGACAAAGAACCGCCCAAATCCTTGATCGTCTCTTCTCTCCTAAAACAGCTCCAAAGGACTTCAACGTCTCCTACCGGAGTTGTCAACACCTTGTCTGCCTCTCTTGGTAACGCAACACCTCGTCGGCCCCTCGCAGATATCTCCCTGGCACAACTCGAGCGTCCTCCGTCTATCGCAGGCCGCCTTTCAAGTCGTTCGAACACTTTGTTACCTAGGGCTTCGTCACCTCTCGTGCTTGGAATAACACCATCTGCTACACGCCCGCCACGCATACTGCGAGTCCACACGTCAACTTCAGGATCAGCTCGCAATAACAATGCACCTCCAGGCTCATCTAAACCAAACTCGGCAACTGCAGCGATCCCGGCTTTACTCACCGAAAAAACCAAATCCTTTGCAAGCAATGGGAATCTGCTACTGACCTTGGCGCTGAAAACGCCTGTTCGCGCTCCTTCTGTTGCTCCTATACGCCCTCAACAGTCAACTCCGCTGAAGAGTACACCACGTCATCCAGCTCCTGAACCGTCCTCAAGTTCGAATCTCACCGAACCTTCTCAGTCGGAGATCCCAACGGCAACTAAAACCTCAGCCATGTGTCCTCCCCGCCCTCGACCAATTCGCAAAAATACTCAAGTCCCAAAGCCTGACATAGTTCCAATTACTCCCACGGTTCCAGCTCAAGAAATAGTTCCTTTCAAGAGCTCTCCAATTGTCAACCTCGCGGAGGGACAAAGAGAACGACGGTCGCCTTTCGTGAGTTGTATTATATCTTAGCTTTCCTATACTTCATTAGTGTCAGCAGAGAGCAGGGAGGCGGTTTATTCCTCTTGTGGATACGGACGAGGAAGATGAGGATGAGTGAAGCAGTAGAATTGGTGTACATTTGTAGAGTGCTTCAATGTTCAATTGATTCAAGTCCTCCCAAACTGGAAAGCTACTCTTGCAGATGTCCTATCCAAATCTCAACAGGGGCACCGCCAGCTCCCACTCTCTCGCCAACTTTCTCAAACTCTACCCCAATTTCAGCTGCCATATCCCATAACGTCCTTTCAGCTGCGTCTCTCTCCTTGTATCCCAACAGGATCGCAGGCGGTTTAGAGCCCAAGCGCAATAGCTTATCGAGAGTCCGAATGAGCGAGGGAAATGACGCGGTGTTGTATGTGACGTCGGCCATCCTAACAGAGATCATATCAGTTGTGTTGAAGGGACAGTCGGGGAAAGGGTGCCAACACAATGGCGTCAAGCCCGTCTTCGAGGCCGGTGACATCTTCTGGGAGGTCTTTGTCGTCCCAGTCTAGTACGACGGCTTTTGGAGACGTTGTGAATGTGTGCTGATTACTTGAGATATTTTGTTCGAGGAGAGGCATTGCAGATGCTATCATGATTTTTGTCATTACGCTGCACCCATAGAAAGCAAGAAACTCACAGACGTCGGTGGCGATAATGTCATCGGGGAGATTACTTGCAGATCGTAATGCTGCAATCGCAATTGCAACAAGGCCCGTTCCCGCTCCTAGAACGCAGAATTGGCTTAATCTGACGATGAAATGAGCTCAACACTAACCTAGTTCCAGAATTGTACGACGTTCAGAGGAAAACAACGCGTCCCTCATCTGTCTGACGGCGGCACTATCCGAATCTAAATTGGTACGATTGCAGAGGCCAACCAACCAAGAGCTTAATCCAATCCCACTATCCCAGATTTTCTAAAACGCTCTAAACAGCATCAGAAGGCGTTCTTTCCATGAGTATGACTAAATTTCACCTTATCAAGGTCAAACGAGGTCTGCTCCGTGATTTTTAAATCCATGGGCAGGTTATCCCTCTTCCCATCATCTGCTTCGGCTCTCGGGAACCTATACACCCTCTCGACGTGTTCCTGCTTCTGTGCTCCCTTCCCACAGCGCGCCGTGAACAAAATAGGCATAGACATAACAGGGAACGGATGCCTCCCCACACCACCGTCCGCCATATCGATCTCCAGAGCCTTCTGAGCGTTTGCCAGTGTCCCAGTCAACAAAAGCCGCCAGTACTGTCCTTCGCGCACATTCGGTGGCGTAGGGACAGGAATTTCTTTATACGCGTTAGCTTGTCGCCATGTAGTCAGTTTACGAGGTGACGTTGTGATTATTGGATCTGAATTCCTTGTCGCGTTTGGGATCTTTTGGGGTGGGTGTTCTTGAGACCAGAGGTAGAATATGTCTTGTGAGCCTTTGAATTGCTCCGTGCGCAAGTCATTTGCTATTTGAGGCGCAATAACTATGTTACTGTAGGGCGCTGCTTGACAAGGAGGGGGACGGAGGAAGGAGATGTAGAAAAACATGAACGATGCTATCAACTTCAGATAACCGTGGCACAGCCACCAATGACAAAGTTCTCTCCGACGATCTCCTAAAGGCTAACTGACAAAAGGGCAACACGTACGCGACACTCCGGCGTCAAAGGGCGCTGGCTGTGCTTCCAGTTTAAAACCCTCTCCTCAACCTCTCCTCACCTCAAAGCTACCCAAACATCTCTGTCATGGCGTTTTTATTCTCATCGCGGAGAAAGGAACTTCTACAGCGACTTGATCGCACTCAGCAGCAGATTAACCAATTGCAAGCCAACTTAGCGAGGGCATGCATTTCAATATGTTCAAGCTGTCCCTTCATAATTTTGTTTTTTGATTCACAGAAGAGAAATGCAGCCAGCGGCGACGGTTCTGTCGCTCCGTTCATCACTGTCAGTTTCGTAAATGGAGATGACCCCACCGCTGTTCGTCCATTCTTATGTCTCGTCTGAGAGGCTGTCCCTTACTTCATATCTAACAGAATGGTTTACCACTTCTACAATCAGTCGCTGATGTCGATAATCTTTCGGATCCAGACGCTATGGCCTATCTTACAGGCTATGGTTTCAGTGATGTCCCAGATGATGCAGTTACAAGACGCGGTCTTATCAAGATTGCCATTGGCTGTAGGCCGTTATAACGTTCGTCGCTTATCTTTCTCTCATGTCCAATTGTTCTCATGCAATTGCTACTTGGACAGCTTTTGAAGTGCTCAAAAGGTTGCAACTTGCACAGATCCGTCATACGTTTGTGCGCGAAACGCCGCGTCATCCGCTTCGCCAAGTAATTGGTACCATTGGATCAAGATTTCCAATGAGGCTACGTACGTACGTCGAGCGATTCTTTCTTCTGCCTTGCGATCCGTCTGTAGTGGCCTCAGATCTCCTCAAGGTCAAGAAGGGCTTCCGTCCAAGTGCTGCCAGTGTCTGCCAGCGTTCTACTTACACCTTTCCAAACGTCATATTTTTAAGTTCTCCCGCCGACACTCAGTTGGCTCTGTAATTGGACACCTGTCTTGCACCCCGCAAATCACAGGTGACCTGGGACTTCTATTACCCCTTCTCACAGCGTGGTATAAAAGTCCATCATCGACATGTACTGCCCCTAGCTCTCTGGGTCCATCTTACTTGCCTACCACTCGATTCACCAACCGCACCAATTCCCGCACAATGCGTCTTTTTGCCAGCCTCGCTGTCCTTGTCCCTCTCGTCGTCTCCGTCGTCGCTGCGCCTGCCAAGGCTCCCTTCGATCAGCTCTTCTACAATGTTGGAGACATTACCGTGCTACTTTCACGTACTAGCGCTGTCGCAGCGTCCATCAACCTCAAAACAATTCCAGTAAGTGGAACGCTTGCTCACCCTTTCAAAGACAAGCTCAGTTTTGACTTCCCCGTTTAGGACTTCATGTCTTCCATTGAAGCGTTGATCTCCAGCTCGAAGAAGCTGGAGGTCGATGTCAAGGTGGGCCAGCCCTTGCTTCAGATCACATTCAACAGGAGATGACGACTTTGTTTAGAACACTGCAGCCCCAACCTCTACTCAGGCTACCGCCATTGTCGAGGCTGTGCGGGAGACTTTACTTCCTATATATGCCGACACGATTGCTGAAATCGTAAAAGATAAACCCACTATCGTTGAAATCAACCATTTACCAGACGTGGTTGACGTCTTGAAGTCCTTTGTATCAGTGTTTGTGGATGCTTTCACGGAGTTCATCAACCATTTGCCTGTATGTTGTATCTGGTTGTGAGGTCAATCATGCGCTAAACATCCTTCATTGTAGCCCAGCGCGGACGCGTTCAACTTGAGACTCGCGATTGACTTCGAGTCGAGCTACATCACAAAAACTTATGTCGACGAGTCGTAAAGCAACTTGTCCAAAGACATGCGTTTCTTAGTGTTCTAGTTAGAACGTCCTTTCTGTAACTGTTAAGTGGTGGTATAAATTGTGACGATTGCATACATTACTTCTGTTATGTCTTTTGGTCAGAAGGATATTGAATCTCCAAAGTCCGTCTAATATGATTCCAGATCGTGGGACCATATGCGTAATACGCAACCCCAAATGCTGCGCCGCCCAAGTGTGCCCAATGATCCAAATACCTATGGGCGAGGTCCAGTCAGCACCGACAAGACAATCAGCAATTTTGACGATAGCGCACCTCCATCCTCGAAGAATGCCAATCATGTCTAGCGCGACCAACCCTCCAACACCCCACTGTATGTTAATTGGGTAAGAGGGAGGGATGAACAAAGCAATTTGAGAATCTGGGAACGCAAGTGCAGTCGTCGTCACCGCGGCGTAAATTGCCCCAGAGGCACCGAGGCTTGGGAGGATTTCGGGAACCTTTTTCTTCGCCACAGTAGATGCGGTAGCAGAGGCAGCGGCGACTGCACTAGCCCAAGTATCAGCCTTCGGTACCGCTTGGCTGGAGGTGGCAAGCTGAGCAACCAATCGTGGATAACGGAACTTGGCGTTGACTACGTGAGATACTAGACCCGAGAATAATCCAGCTTTTGTCGTCGAGGTAAGTAAAAAATGGCATGAGAAACTTGGAGCCGAAAGTACCTGATACGAAGAACGCAAGAAAATGGTAGGCAGCTGTGGACTCCAGCATTTGTGGCTCAGCTTTCCCTTGCTCCCTGAGAAGATAAAAGTACGCTGCAGATCCTGGGATAATTTTTTTGAGAAAGCCTACTTTCGAATGAAAATGAGATTTACCAAAGCTCTCTAATGCTAGGCAATTAAACAAGAGGTGGAAGAAAGATCGGTGACTATGTCAATAAACCATTCAGAACGGGTAGGATAAGATCGACAGGAAACCTACCTGAACATGCTTGTCAGGAGAGTGAAGGATAGTCCAGAAAGAGGATTATGCATGAAACGAATGGACATGGGGCCTTGCCACCGCCGAACCTTCCATGCCACCCACACAGCTGCATTAAGCAGACAAATTTTCCAGCACAGTCGCTTTCCCTCAGAGGCATCTGCGTAGGGCTGCAAGACTGACACAAAAGCCAGTCCAACCCAGGGACGAATTAATCCCGGCATCTCCTGAAGCCTCAGATTAAGTCCAGCGAACCATTCCCTGAGGTCCTAAACAACTCGATCGGTCTGAACGCGTACTTTTCAAAGAGAAAAGAACTCACTTTAATGACCTCTACATTTTGGGCTCGTTTCAGATCGGTACTTGTGAGGCTCTGGAATGTCCAAACACTCGATACGGATGTCATCCTTTTCGTCCAATAATCGGTCTCGATATTGGTCCGGGATGCAGCATACATAAATGCCAAAAAGGAACCACCCGCTACGAACTTCGAAAAATTTTGTGAGTACTTCAAACTGCATCCCCAATCCCAAGGGAGCAACTCACCAAGATCTGGTTTCTTATGCCTGGTTTCCCAACCGTTTCCGAGAACGCCTCCCCATAGCCTGCATGGCCTATTTTCGACCGAAAAGAAGGTACAGATCCTGGGGCGCTTTCTTGCCGCAATATTCGGCTTGGTCTGAAGAAATTTCGAGGTTGGGTTGTTTGAGAAAATGACCTTGGCGAGACGATCGAGTTTCTAAAGAAAAGGCTGGCTGGTGGCCGAGTAGACTGGCATCGTAACGACGCCCACAGCATTGACGTGAAACGATGGCTGGTTTACGACGAGAAGATAGATTTCATACAAGTCTCAGCCAGCGCGTCGCGGCCAGTGGTATGTTGATGCCGTTCCTCTTCGTCATCCCGTGGCAGGGGTTAAGGTTTATTGACCGGCCCGCTCTCTGGCACCAACTTCCACTCGTTTTCATCATGGACGATACCCAGTACCCCATTGTTCGAGGGGCAGTTCAACTCCCAGCGGGATCGGAGATCATCACGGACGTCGATGAAGAGGTAGGTTTTTACAGCCTTGAATTGTCTAAATTTGTCAACTAAAATACATTTACACACCACCCAGATCTTCATCTTATATTCCAACCTGCAGTCTGCTGGTAGCGACACTGAATCGTCTGGTTTTCGTGGCCTAGGACAATTCGACTCTCGCAAAGATGTTTTAGACATCATCTTCGACTTGAAGGGCATATCAGATTCCAAGTCCAAGGACAGCCGTAAAGGAAAAAAGTCGAAGGCGCAGAGAACACATGAAAGTGATAATGCGAATGACAAGACTATTCAAATTGAACTTTACCAAGACAAGACGGCTCTGCGGACGCGTAAAGGTGACACTGGCAGCGTCATTTGGAAAGCCAGGCAAGTTAATATGTCCTGAACGAATTCCAAGTACCTCACTAACCTCCCCGTAGTATTGACTTTGCTCAATACGTGCTCCAACAAAATTACACCAACTCAACGAATGGTCTCTTTCATCATGAAAGGCTACGCAATCAGCATGTTCTAGAACTTGGGTTGGCTCTGTGTCTTGATCCGTGCATGGATGCGATTTAATTATCTGGATTATAGAGCTGGAACTGGTCTACTCAGCATGGTGCTCTCTCCCCTTGTGCGGCGCTACACTGCGACCGACATTGGCCCATTGATGCCTCTTATTCAGAAGAATGTTTCCCTGAACTTTGCTGGCTGGCCGAAGTTACCCTCTGGTTCTCCAGGATCAAATATCTCAGTCGAGGAACTCGATTGGCAGCTCCTTCAGTCATCCACTGCCCCTCGACGAGCAAAACTCTATACTCTAGATCCAATCGATCTTCTCTTACTTGTGGACTGCATTTACCATCCATCTCTCATCCCCCCTCTCGTAGCAACTATCAATCACCTCGCCATCCCGCAGCGGACTACTGTGTTGATCGTCTCAGAACTTCGTTCGCACGACGTAATGCGGGAATTTTTGGATACCTGGTTGGCCCAACCGAACTGGGAAATCTGGCATATTGGATATAATCTTCTTCGAAGCCAGCATTACGTTATGTGGCTGGGCCAGAAAATGCAACTTCCCAGCACTTCGGGGTGATAACGGATGAGGCTAGGAAGAGTGGTCAGGCAAATTTGCGTTTCTGGCTTTTCCTGTTTCTCGAATTACCCTGCATGCCGTTTTCCCTCCAACTCCCACTCACTCAATTACGTTCTGGTGATGTGCGTACCCCATGTTTAAAAATACCCAGACAACGACATGACACTTTCTAAGCTTGTAAAGTTGAACGACCCTGAGGATCATCAACATATAAAAACGCGACGTTCTGGTTTCTCCTTCCTTCGCACGCTCTTCCAACTTCTTTCGATTACACATATCATGCCTCGCACAAAAAGACAAGCTCGACCACATGTAGGACGGCGAGGAGGAGGAGGAGGAGGAGGAGGAAGTAAGTCTTTAAGCTCTATGTGTTTTACAGGCACGAACTAACTCAATGACAATCGAAGATATTCTCTCGCAAGTCGGTGTTAAAACACCCGTCCGCGCCAACTCGACCCTCAAGCAATATGCGATAAAGAGCTTGGATCAGAAAAACAAGGGTAACTTGAAGGAGAAAAGACCTTATCGCTTCCGCCCTGGAACCGTCGCTCTACGTGAAATCCGCCGCTACCAGAAGTCTACGGAGCTTCTAATTCGCAAACTGCCCTTTCAGCGCCTCGTTCGTGAAATTGGAGAAAACATCAGGGTGTGTTGTCAATCTTCCTCTCATTCTCTTTCGTTGTTTGTTTACCCTACATCTTCAGGGCGACTTGCGATTCCAAGCAAAGGCCGTCCTCGCTCTCCAGGACGCTTCAGAGGCTTATCTCATCTCCGTTTTCGAAGATGTGCAAGCAGCTGCGATCCATGCCAAACGCGTCACCATTCAAACCAAGGACGTCGCTCTCGCGATGAAGCTGCGCAAGGTGAATATCAAGCGTTTGTGAGGTAGTGGTGGTTAGTTAATAGTTGATATTTGTAACATGATGTTTGAAAATGTGTATTGTTATACATATGCGTGATTAACATGAGAACTACAGGTGTATCGTATGTATTAAATATTCAAGTCAAGCCTAAATTAGCAAGCCAGCAATAGCCATGATCGTCCAAAAGAAAGCTATTGAGACTAAAGAGGTGCGCGAGACCTTGATATCGGAGATGGTATCGCTCGTCGAACGTGTAGGACTCCTGCCTGTCGCAGAAACGGATGTAGCGGCGCTGCCGATGGTGGCGGATGGAACGCTCTCGGTGGTGGACCCGCTATTCGCCAAAGCAAAATCAGAAAGCTGAGCGAAACCAACGGAAGCTGGGTTATAGCGGAAGACAGAGTACACGTTTTTCTGGTGTGGTTCTTAGTAACGATGGCTACGTGAGAATCAAAGAAAAACCCACCAGGAAAGTGTCTCCAACGATCCACGAAGGCGCCGATCCTCCCGTCGACAGCTCAAAGAATGCACCAAGACATAGCTCCTTCGTCAACTGGGAAAGCTGGAAATCTTGTGGACTGATAGACCAGTTTTTCCCCCCAAACGATAACTGGACAGAGACGGAGGTCGAGCACGCTATATACCAGACATTAACCTGTCAATTCCTATCTTAAATGAAAAGCGGATAACGCACGATATGTATAATAGCTCTGGAAATTTCCTGTTCCAGGTGCCGAACCGGGAATTTGAGCGAAGATCTCAGCGATATATTGTGAGGGCCCGCCCACGAGTGTTGTTCCCGTATCTATAGCAGCATATGAAGCCGAGCCAGAGGGTAAGCTGACTTGAGTCCCTTGGACGGTCAGGGCTAGCAAGAGGATAAGATTCTAGCATCTAACAAAGTATGAAAACATTTGAACGTACTTGACAAAGGCAAAATCCAGTACGAGCCGGTCGTTGGGAGGCTGATGTAGTCGATTTCGCCGGTATACAAACTTGTGTTGGTGAAACCTATGAAGCACATCAGCCTCATATGATGTCATGACCACGAAACACGACTCACCCATCGTGAACGAGCCTCCAAATTCCAAGCTATCAGCGTTACTCTGGTTAATGTACCTAAAAATTCTCATAGATTCAATTCACTTCTCGGCACGACACCAAACATACCGTGTAAGATAAAACGCCATCACCGGATCCGTCCACGCGCCATTTGAAACAAGTGTCTGCCACAAAGGTGTCGCCTTCGATGACGCGATCGTTTGGAATCCCAGGCCGAGGAGGCCCGAGACAGGATTACTGAGGAGCCCCGACGATATCTGATCGCAAACCGCGAATACTTGGTTCGTCACTGAAAACCCGGCCATCTGGACGACGTCCTTCGCGAGCGCACCGGAAGCCTGACCACTGCCGTACGTGATGCTGAAAGTGGTCGACTGGTTCTGAAAACTTGTTGAAGCGGTCGGGTCGAACGTTGGGACGTTTTCGCAGCCAGTTTGACATGTGGAGCCAGCTACCCATAAGTCACTATAAAAATCATCAAAATATGAAGGATATGGAAAGGAGGAGGCACGTACGCCGAACCCGTGTCCAGGATAACGTCAAACGATACTGCTGGTGTACCGATAGCTAGTGAACCAAAATAACTGTATGAAAAAAAAAAACTTAGTCAACACTTCAATGAGAGTCTCAGACGCATACCTCGAGTCGCTGTTCTGATTTGTGATACTAAAGAAGGATGTCAACAAATTGAACGTGGTAGGGGGGTGAAGGCGCCTACAGATTCGTGCCAGTACTTCTCTTCTGTGGTTGCCCAGCACCATATTTAGCTTCAAGTCCTGCTTTATGATTTTTTGCCCAAACACCCCACTCTTCTATCGTGCGGTCGGAAGGCGACCTTCGTTTGAGACTCATCACCTGCCCAGCCGACGATTTCACTTGAGGCGCCGCGAAAACTGGCCACGACAGCGACAAAGCAAGAGCCACGGATAGGGGCGTTGAAGGGAGTAACATTTTCACGAGAGAGCAATGCAGATAGATAGCGAGACGAGAGGCGCGATGAAATCAATATAGGACGAAAGGTGAGGTGAGGTGAAACTTTGCTCGACCGGCGAGTAAAATGATGTGGTATTTGAGGGAGTGCGATAAACGGGGACGAGATCGCCGCAATTCAGTGGGGAGGTAGATAAACCGATCGAAGGAATTACAATCTGGCCTGGCCGACGACCCGGCAGCCACCAAGACATTTTGTGGGTGCTCCTTTAGGGATGATATCCGGCTATACATAGAATTACGCACAGCCGTGAACGGTGAGTGCGAGTCGGCCGGAGGCTAATGTCGTTTCGCGTATTGTAGGAAGCATCTCATTACGCGATCTTGGAAAACTGTAGTGTTTCTCTGTAAAACAATTTCCAAGTGTCGCGTATATCATAATGGGACTGGGGTTCCTTGCGAAAAGATGTCAGAGTCGAAAAATTCAGACCTTAGGCACAGGCCTCCGCAGCAATCCACAAGTCTTGACGGCTTGTGAGGAGGCTTGGTGAACTTCACTTAAGCTTCAAAGTTGTGCACTTCATGAGTGTGTGTTTATCAGCCCAATGATGCGTAAGCTCACATTTTTCACTGCACCTCAAGTGGTATCGATTTCTATGCACTGTTTTGACAAAATTTGAATGCTTCGACACGGAGGATTGTGGTGCGAGACTAGACTTCAAAGCTTCACTGTAGATTATAATCGACAGAGCGTTGACAAGCGAGATATGAATAGGTAATACACTAAGGTTACAATAAATATAATCCAACAACTGATGAATAAAAGTTCTATCATGACCGCTCTCCCCGCAACCGACGAGCCAAAGCAAGATCTTTGGGTTGGATGGTAACGCGCTTGGCGTGGATGGCAGCCAAGTTGGTGTCTTCGAATAGTGAGACAAGGTAAGCCTCAGCGGCTTCTTGCAAAGCCATGACGGCGGATGATTGGAAGCGAAGATCAGTCTAGTGGCTATGTCAGTACGGTGAGGAAACACGAGTCAAGTCAGGCTAACCTTGAAGTCTTGCGCAATTTCACGAACGAGACGTTGGAAGGGGAGTTTGCGAATGAGGAGCTCCGTTGACTTTTGGTAACGTCTGATTTCACGGAGGGCGACGGTTCCGGGGCGGAAACGATGAGGCTTCTTGACACCACCAGCTGCAGCCTTGGAGGGAATTAATCAAGTGGCAGAGTGAAATAGAAGGCGAATACTTACAGCAGTCTTACGAGCAGCGGAAGACTTGGAAGCGAGTTGTTTACGAGGGGCCTTGCCACCGGTAGACTTGCGGGCAGTTTGCTTAGTGCGGGCCATTGTGAATGTAGTGGTTGTGCAAGGTTGTTGTTTGTGGCAGGTGGTGGGCTAATGGAGGAAACATCTTGACGTGCTCGTTGATTTATATTGACGCGAACGTGATAGTCATGTGATCGCATCGCGCCTAATTCAGAATCAACAAACGAAATGGTGCACAGCCACATGCCGCCATTATATATAGTACACAGGCACATTTGTCTAAACCCCACTACCGCCTCCACCACACACTTGTGACTCACACTCAACCTCTTCAACCCACTCTACATATCAAGTTAACATGTCTGGCCGTGGAAAAGGTGGAAAGGTGAGCTGAGTGCTTTCAACCGTTTGACCTTCGCTTATCATAATTGCACCTTAGGGACTCGGAAAGGGTGGAGCCAAACGCCACCGAAAAATTCTTCGTGATAACATCCAGGGTATGTGTCTTCTCCACTGTTATCCTCCCAGCTATTCACCGGCCGCCGTAGGTATAACAAAACCCGCTATTCGTCGTCTTGCTCGCCGTGGAGGTGTGAAGCGTATCTCTGGTCTTATCTATGAGGAGACGCGTGGTGTCCTGAAGATTTTCCTTGAAAACGTGTGTTGTTACTTTGTCTGCTGCCTCTCCAGTGTTTCTAACCCTTTGTCCTTAGGTCATTCGTGATTCAGTAACATACACAGAACACGCTAAGAGGAAGACAGTAACAGCACTTGACGTTGTGTATGCCCTGAAACGATCGGGGCGTACGCTATACGGTTTCGGAGCATAGATTTGATTGTTTTGTGATCTACATGTACCCATATTGTATTTTTATCTTATTTATCTCTTCTCCTCATCTTCAATTCGTCTCACACGTCGACACTGAGATTTTCCGCCAGTGTATCGGTCGCCATCATTCAACATCATCCATCTGTCAAGCATTCGTTCCTCAACTGTTCGAACGAGATCAGTTTCTGTGCCCGACAAATAGCCTTTGCCCGTTCTGCCGGGATTGCTCCGTGACATTTAGAGTCGTCGGAATTCCTTGGCAAGCGACTCAACCCCACTTCATAGAATGACTTCACTCACCCCCAATGTCAGTGTAGATCCAGATGTGTCTCTTCCAAACGAGACCTGGGCAGCGATCTTCATCCACCTCTCTCCCTCTTCTCTCGTTGTGCTCTCCAGTGTTTCTCTGCGTTTCAATGCCATTGCAGAGCGCGCGCTTTACTCTTCTATCTTCATAGTTGATGTACTCTCCAAGTCATCACCAA